CAGTGATCCTCTCTGTGTTTTCCCTTTTCTCCCGTTCTGAAACTTTGATTGCTCGTAAATTTTTGCTTTTGATTGTATCTCACATCATTCTCATGGTTTCTTCCTTTTTCTTTGCTCTTTTTTCTGATTTTTCTTCAAACAAAGTTGTATCCAAGTGTCTTCAGTTTCTCTGATCCTGTCTTCCATTGTCTCAGACCTCTTTGTCGGTCCTTCTATGACACTGTCATTTCTGAAATCTTGTTGTTTATCTTTTGGATTTCTAATTGTTTTTGTATGATTTCTAGTTGTGAATTTATTTTGACATTTTGTTCCTGTATTATTTTCCTGAATTCTTCCATTTTTTTGTCTGTATTTTCCATGAATTTGTCTACTTTTTTCCACATTTTTTCTGCTTTTTGCTTCATCTCTTGGGTAGCTCTGAATATTAGAGATTTGAATTCCCTATCAAGTAGTTCTAGTGCCTTTTCTTCTACTGGAATGTCATCTGGTGTTTTATTTTGGAAGTTTACTAGAACCATCCTGTCCTTTTTTTTAAATATGTTTTGATATTGTTTGCTGTCTTCAGGACATTCAGTAGTTGTTTTCTTTGTTTATGGATGGTAGATTTATTTGTTTCATCTTGCTTTTTTGTTTTATTTGGTTATGTGTGAACAGGTTGTACATTGTTTTTTGTTTGCTCATCTGTGGACACGATAATTTTCACCTCCTTGTCCAATGGGCAGGGCCTGTCGCTAAGCTATGGTGCAGCAGGGCAAGTCTAGCTGAAGGGGAGAGCCTGGAATGGGTTGTTTGTAGCACATACTGGGGACGACAAGGTGAGCAGGTGGTCAATGCAGGGCAGGTTCCAGTAGGTCATGCCTATGCTGCTTGGGAGTGCAATGTTCAGCACACTGTGAAGATAGGCTGGAGGGAGGGCGAGAGGGAGGTTGTGATGTGTAGAGCTAGGTTGGGTATGGAAAAGAAGAGAGAAGAGAGAGAAACAGGAGCAAAAAAAAAGTGCTGAGGGCGCTTGCTGTTTGAGTGCAGAAACTGAGAAATAAAGAAAAAATATATAAATAAATAAATTTTTTAAAAAAAGTACTCAGGGATCCCATCAACATGGCTGCACAGACTGGGGAAGTGGCTCTCAAGCTGCACAGTATAGGCCAGCTAGAAGGGGTGGAGATGATACACAGAGCCAGGTATACAGGAGACAGGAAAAGAATGTAAGTAGAAAGAGACAGAAAATCTAGAAATGAAGAAAGATAAGAAGGAAAAAAAGAAAGAAAACAAAACAGAAAGAAAGAAAAACAAAAAAGCCCCCAGGGATCCCACCAGTGTGGCTGTGTGGACCAGGGAAGCGGTCCCCCAGCTGAGTGGTGCTCCACTGCCTGTCAAGAAGAAGCAAAGATGGCACATGGAGTCAGGTGTTTGGGAGAAAGGAGGGGGTGGAAGTTAGGGGCAGGGAAGAAACCAAAAGAGGCTGAGAAAAAGCAACACCAGCAACAAAGAAGTGGCAGTGAAGAAGCTGGTCAGTGTCAGTGAGGCGAATCAGCAAGGCACAGGATGAGCAGGAGGAGGCAGGCTGGGGAGTAGGAAAGCATGTCTCGCTGGTTTCCTGGTGCTCTGTCTCCTGCTGGGAGCTCCGTAAATCTGCTTTCCTGTACTCGCTGTCTGCCAGTCTCCGACAGTCCAAGATGGTGGATTCATGCTTCTTCAGCTGATAGGGGACCTCTGCTCGTGACTCTCCTTGCTCTCTGTCCCCTGTCAGTTTCTTATTCCATTCAGTGCTTGGTTGAGTTCTTTATCTCTTCATTTGATGCTTAGGGTTCCAGGATTGATGTTTGGTTCTGTTTTACTTAGTGTTTCAGGTCTTTGCTGTGGAGGGACGGTGTGGTGCTTCTATCTATAGCACCATGTTGGTCACGCCTCCTCATCCTCATTCCTGAAGGATAGTTTCACTGGGTGTAGTATTTGTCCTAGGCTAGGTTCTCTATAGAATGAAAACCAACAAAGTTTACAAATATATAGAGAGATTTATATCCAGGAAATGGCTCACGCAGTTGTAGAGGCTGGAACCTCCTGAGTCCATGAGTCAGACTGGAGGCTTCTCCTGGCTCACAGGTTGCAGAGGTTGATGAATCCCAAGATTGGCAGGCAAGATGGCAGGTAAGCTGTTAGCTCAAGTTCCAAGAAATGGAGGTTAAATGCATAGGAGCCAGGTGCAGGATCCAGAGCAAGCAAAAGCCCCTGAGCCTTGTCAGAGAGTCTGCTTAAATTTGATGCAGGTCATACACCCAAGAAAACTCCCTTTCAACTGATTGGCTACTCACAGCAGATCCCATAAAGAGATGATCATATTGTATCAAATCTCATCATGGAAGTGAGCACATTATCATAAGACTGCCAAACTACATCATAACTGCCAAACCACTGAGAATCGTTGCCCCGCCACACAACTTTAACGATCCGTTCATGGATTGAATTATGTCCCCCCCAAAAATGTGTGTATCAATTTGGCTGGGCCATGATTCCCTGTATTGTGTGATTTTCCTGTATGTTGTAAATCCTGCCTCTATGATGTTAATAAGGGAGGATGGGCGGCAGTTGTGTTAGTGAAACAGGACTCAGTCTACAAGATTGGATTGTATCCTGAGGCAATCTCTTGAGATATAAAAGAGAGAAGTGAGCAGAGAGACAGGGGGACCTCATACCACCAAGAAAGCAGTGCTGGGAGCAGAGCGTTTCCTTTGGACCTCGGTCCCTGCGTGGAGAAGCTCCTAGTCTGTGCGAACACTGATGAGAAGAAGACCGACAGAGAGAGAAAGACTTCCCCTGAAGCTGATGCCCTGAATTTGGACTTTTAGCCTACTTTACTGTGAGGAAATAAACTTCTCTTTGTTAAAGTCACCCACTTGTGGTATTTCTGTTATAGCATCACTAAATGGCTAAGACACAATCATAGTATTCTTGGTTGAAAGTTTTTTCTTTCAGCACTTTAAATATATCATTTCATTGCCTTCTAGCCTCCAATGTTTCTGCGGAGAAATTGACACTTTATCTTTTCAGGAATCCTTTGTATGTGACTGTTTGCTTCTCTCACTGCTTTCAGGATTCTCTATCTTTGCTTTTTCAGAGCCTAACTATGATGTGTCTTGGTGTAGAATATCTTTGGGTTTACCTTGCTTGGAGTTCTTTGAGTTTCTTGGATTTGTAAATTCATGTCCTTTGTCAGATTGGGGAAATTTTCTGTCATTATTTCTTCAAATATTCTTTCTGTCCTTTTCTCTCTCATCTCCCCTGGAATGCTGATGATGCCTATATTAGATCTCTTGTTGCCATCCCATAATTTCATTTAACGGTATTTAGCCTTCTTGACCCTCCGTTCTTGTTGTTCTTCAGCTCTGTAATTTTAACTGTCTTATCTTCCAGTTCACTGACTCTTTCTTTCGCCCGACTAAATTTGTTGCCAAGTCCCTCTATTGTGTTTCTCATTTCAGTTATTTTACCTTTCAGTTGCAATATCACTTTTTTAAACTCTCCTTTTTTCTTTCACTGTTTTCCTTATTTCTTTTAACTCTTGTCTATGTTTTCCCTTAGATATTTAATTATGTTAAACGTTTTTGTATTATGTTTTTCCTTTTTTTTTCATTATTTGGTGTTCTCTAGATTCACTTTCACTCCCTTCATCATGTTCATTTGGATGAGCTATCGTTTTGCTTTTCTTTTTGTGTCTTGTGATTTTCGTTGGGGCATTGGCATTTCTACGGGTGTTAACTTTCTCAGTTTTCTCCAGTATTTGATGTTTTTGCCTACACTACTTTTTGTAAAAAACTGTTAGGCAGGCAGAGCCTTTGACCTTTGCTTACCATTTCCTCTCCCTCTCTGTGTGATAATTCCTTTTCCCTCTCTGGTTTAATTCAGACTCACAAGTTCCAGATCTCAGTTTTCAACTTTCAATGTCTCCCAAACGCAGAAGAGAATATGCTGTGCTCAGTCTGTCCACCAAGAGGCACTGCCATTCAGGCAAGATATCATGCTCTAATCAAACTGTTCCACCCGGGGGCTCAGTCCTCTCCCTCTGGTTATTACTCCCTGTTTTTGCAACCACGTTTTCAGTCAGAAAACCCACTCCCAGTGAGCCCCCTTCAGGGCTGGGTGTTACACTCCAGTTTTGCCCAAGGCTTCATTCCCTGCTCTTTGTGGGCTGCTTATGCCTGAGATGGCATGCAGAGGAAGCGCAAGCAGACTTTCCTTCGTTTCAGGAGGAGGAGGGGCTGGCACTCCCCAGAAATACGTCCCAAAGGTCTGCTTTGTTGGTTTCAGATCCCCAGTGTCTCTGGTGATTGAGAGAGCAGTCTCCAATTATATAACCCTCCTTCTGGCTTCACTGTAGGGAACCTTCCATAGGATTTTGTATCAGTCCAGCAGCCGACAGTTACCAGGTGGGGGAAGTGTTGTCACACTCCAAACGGACCCCCAGTGAGGTCTGTCTTGTTATTAGTGCCTTTCCTGTAGTATGTTGGTTGTGGGTGTAGCCTCCAGTCAAGATGCCTGCTTCTTAGCACACAGCAGGCTTAGTCAGCGGTCCTCAGCACTGACCAGAAGAGAGTGCAGACAGAGATAAAATGACCCCCAGTGACATCTCTCCTATTGGTTTCAGAGGCCTGAGCCATGGGATGTACAGGGAGGCAGGTAAGTTGTGACTATGGAAGCAGACTCCACTGCATGGGGCCTTCTGTAGCAGTTTACAATAGCCTGGCAACCGATAGTTACCAGGTGTGGGATGGGGTGTCACATTCCAGTCAGAATCTCATGGAAGTCTGCCTTGTTGCTATCAGAACCCCACAGTAGATTGTTTGCTGTAAGTGCAACCCCCACTCAATATGCCTGCTTCCTCACAGATAGCAGCCTCAGTCAGCAGTCCTCAGCGCCAACCAGAAGTGAGGGTAGACTAACCCAAATTGACCACTGGAAAGGTCTATCCTGTTGGTTTCAGAGGCCTGAGCTATGGGTGAGGCAGGGAGAGTGCTGACTATGGGAGCCGATTCCACTGCAGGGGCCTTTTGTAGCAATTCACAGCAGGCTTGCAGATGACTGTCCAGGTGGGGGAGGGGTTGTCATGTTCCAGATGGACTCCAAGAGAGGTTTGCCGTGTTATCAGAGCCGTTTCTGTAGTATGTTGCCTGTGGGTGTAGCCTCCACTCAAGGTGCCTACTTCCTAGCACACAGTGGCCTCATTCAGCAGTCCTCAGCACTGACCAAAAGGATGAGCAGACAGACCCTAACAGACTCCGCAGTAAGTCTGCCCTATTGGTTTCAGAGGCCCGAGTTATGGGAGTGTGCAAGGAGGCAGATACAAAGCTGACAATGAGAGGAGACTCCACTGCAGGCACCTTTTGTAGCAATTCACAGTAGGCTTGCTGCTGACAGTGTCTGTGTGGGGAAGGTGCTGACACTGTAAATGGACCCCCAGGGAGGCCTGCCTCATTGATTTTAGAACATAGCTTGGGGTCTTGTCTTTTTGTACAGGCAGAATTGTGGTAGTTATAGTAGAAGGCCCTTTTGCTGGGGCCACTTCTCCAGTTCACAGCAGCTGGTGGTCTATATGGCTGGGAGGAGGGCCAGGGACAGTGGAAGAAGCAATTATCCTACCTTATCATTGTTAATTTGTTGATTCTTGCATGTTGGCAGTTCCCCTCTTCTTTCCTTTGTTCCCCTATTCAGACTTCTTCAAAGTAGAGCACTGTTTTCTTGTTATATTTGTGAGGGAGGGTCAGAATGATGGTCTGTTTACATTGCCATCTTCTGGACTGGAGTTTTTAAAAACTATGGCAAACCCTGGCATTTACAGTGGCCACATTTTATCTGCTTGACATGGCCCAAGGGTTTGTAGATACCCCAAGGTCCAAAATAGGCTGTGCTATGCCGTAGCTGAAAGAGGTCAAATTGAGGTCAGGAGAAAGAACCCTTCCTAACAGCAAAATTTCTTGATGATTAAATTTCTAGATATCATTTAATAGATGGCATGTCCTTAATGACTCTGTTTTTACGATTGACTAACCCTGAAACCTTGGACATGCTCTGAGTCTATCTCTCAAGAAATCAACATGAAAGAAATTTGCAATGACCTTCAGGAGTGTACCCTGCCCAGACGTCACCTATATAATCTGCTTTCGCTATCCCTTCTTTGTCGCACCTTCCTGATACTTTCAGTTTGACACTGTCCTATTCAAATCATATCCACTCACAATAAATATACTGTGTTATACAATTTCTGTTGTTTGTGCATTTAGGTTTTTAAGAATTCCTGGTGTCAGGAATGGGATCCAAAGAGGTTTACCAACATCCCCCAGAGCACTTGTTGGACACAGACATGGTGTCACAAAAGCTCTTTCAGCTTACTGTCTCCACGGAGCATCTGGAGGTCATCTAGGTAAGCCCTCTTGGATTCTCAAGGTCTGCTTCTTTTGTGTTTTGGGCTAGAATACAATATTTATGGTTAGTTAGATGAATTTGTTGTTCCATGTCACTTAGGGCTGTCTAAATGGGATCTACCAATCCAAGAAAGCAGCAAGTTTTCCCAGTGGAACTTTGGTTCACTACATGGCCAAGAACTATGGGTCTATGTCTTGTTTGTATTTGGACTTATGGTTTAAGCTCACTAACGACAGTTTGCCAAACCAGTTGCTACTTTGGGGTTCTTTCCAATTGGAGAAACTGATATATTTAAGGTCTAAATTAGAAAATCACTGCACAAAAACTAGAAAACCATACAGAGATGCTTAGTTTGATTGGTAATATGATGCTTCTAAATGTATTCAGGATTCTAAAATAGCCCCTCTAAAAGACACTGTTTCAAAACTGACCAAAGATAACCTTAAGCTCCTTAATGAAACTATTGCTTTACAAAAGGAAAAAAAAAAAAAAAGAGATTCTGAAGACATCTTCCCACATCCCCAAATACTTAGAGGACATCAGGAACTGGGCTCACACCATAAAGCATTCCTTTTTGCTTCCTTCTTCTCTCCAGTCTCTTAGGGACCATGGTAAGAACTCTCAGATCTTCTCTCATTCTTTGAATTGTGCAACCATTCTCACCTTCCTTTTCTGAGTTGTTCCTCTTCCATTAATGTAAACTCATTCCCCCCTAAGATTCCTGTCTAATCTTTTGAGCTGTTGTTGTCAATTTGATCCTATATAGATAGATAGTTCTTAAAAGAGCATAATGCTCAAGGCAGGTCATTTTTACCAGTTAAGCTAAACTACTGTTCAGTTTTAAGAAGACTTCAGGGGATATTTTTGGTTTAAGGTTTAAAGATTATCTTAGGACAATAGTTTCAGGGGTTCATCCAGCCCCCATGGTTCCAGGAAGTCTGGAGTCCATGAGACTTTGAAATTCTCTTCTGCATTTCCCCCCTTCTGATCAGGATTCTTTTATGGAATCTTTGATCAAAATGTTCAGTAATGGTAACTAGGTACCATCCGGTTCTTCTGGTCTCATGGCAAAGGAGGAAGCTGTTCATGGAGGCAATTAGCCACACATTCCATGTTACTCCTCCTATTCCTAACTCTTCCTCTGTTGCTCCAGGTCAATAGAGACCAATTGTTGTGCTTTGTTTGGCCACTTGCAAGCTTTTAAGACCCCAGGCACTATGCAACAAACTTGGAGATAGAACAGAAGCACTAAACATGTTGTTAGGTCAATTAACTGGGATGTCCCATGAAACCATGACCCTAAACCTCCAAACCAAGGAACCAAATCCCATGAGGTTTTTGGTTGTATACAAGCAGCCTATGAAGCTCCTTTTTTTTTGTCATCATTGTAAATATGTCTACATAACTTTTGCCAATTCAACTTTTTACAGGTGTACAGCTTATTGACAGCAATTACAATAATTGACTGGGCTACACTACCCTTAATCAATGCAATTTTTCCATCATTGTTAATGTCCTCCTTTTTCTCCTCCCTCCTGCCCCTGGTAACCACTATTAAACTTTGGTGTCTATACGTTTGCCTTTTCTAGTCTTTTTAGATAAGTGAGGTCACACAACATTTATTCTTTTGTGATTGGCTTATTTTGATCAGCAGAATGTCTTCAAGCTCCATCCATACTGTAGCATGTATCAAGACTTCATTTCTCCTACTCGCTGAGTAGTATTTCATTGTATGTATGTACCACATTTTGTTTATCCATTCATCTGTTGATGGGCATTTAGATTGTTTCCACCTTTTGGCTGTTTTGAATAGTGCTGTAATGAATATTGGTGTATAAGTTTCTGTTTGAGTCTCTGCTTTCAAGTCTTTAGGTTATATTCCTAGGAGTGGAGTTGCTGTGTCATATGGTAGTTCTATTTTTGTTTCTTGAGGAACCATCACACTGTTTTCCACAACTGCTGTGCCATTTTGCATTCCCACCAGCAGTGAATAAGGGTTCAAATTTGTCTACATCCTCACCAATTGTAATGGATTCAATTGTGTCCCCCCAAAATATCTGTCAGCTTGGCTATGACATGACTCCCAGTGTTGTATGATTGTGTAATCTGATGTGATTTCCTTATGTGTTGTAAACTCAATCACTATGACGAGGTTATATGTGATCTCCTTATGTGTTGTATAGTCTGTCACTGTGACAAGGTTATACTGATGACGTCTACAAGATTAGATAGTGTTTTAATCCAATCTCTTTTGAGGTATAAAAGAGAGAAGCGAGCAGAGACACATGGGAAACTCATACTACCAAGAAAGCAGTGCCGGGAGCACAGCGTGTCCTTTGGACCTGAGGTTCCTGTGCAGAGAAGCTCCCAGACCAAAGGAAGATTGATGACACTGTCTTTCCTCCAGAGCCGATGGAGAAAGTGTTCCCCTGGAGCTGATGACCTGAATTTGGACTTGTAGCCTCCTGGACTGTGAGAGAATAAACATCTCTTTGCTAAAGCCATCCACTTGTGGTATTTCTGTTGGAGCAGCACTAGATGACTAAGACACTAACATTTGTTCTTTTCTTTCTTTCTTTTTTTTTTTTATAGCCATCCTAGTTGGAAAGAAGTGGTATCTCATTGTGGTTTTGAGTTGCATCTCTCTCATGGCTAATGACACTGAACATCTTTTCAAGTGTTTGGTGACCATTTGAATGTCCTCTTTGGTGAAATGTTTATTCAAGTCCTAGTTGCTAGTATTTTCATGATGTCGTCTTAAGTCTCAGTTCTTTTCTCTTCCAAGAAAACCTTCCTTGCATCTGTCTTATGAGTAGTGCTTTCAGTAGCTAGTTTGAGAAATTTTCATGTAAATTGGTCTTTTTGAAAAGTGCACTGAAAAAGGATGGATTGTTTATTTTGATTGATATAACAAAGCCTTAAAAAGGACAAATTATTCTAAATTACTTCTCTAAAAGTTTTTTTTAAAGTGTGCAGAATATAGGGTTATGGCAGTGTAATAATTTCCTACCTCCAGATGATATTATTACATTAGATTTTATACCTTCAAAAACTTTATTTTGATTGGTTTAGTGATAAATAAGCACCTATATTAAATTAAATAGTCCTAATATTTCCAGATATTAATCAAAAAGAATTTGTTTTGACAAAGATTTTTATGTTTTGTATTATGTCTACCTTAAAAGTAGTTTCTTAGAAAGCAAAATCTAAGTAATTTATGCTAGATTTTGTATGGAATGTGTTTTATTTAGTGGCAAAAGGAGTAATTTTGTAAAACTAGTAGTTCCAGAATGATAAAAAGAAAGCATAAAACAAACCTAGACGGAAAATAAAAAAAGGTTAAAATGTTAGCTAAGATTTGGTGGATTTATCTATAAAAAAGGGTTATCTTGAAGAGGAGAAGGCTAAACTGCTTACCAAGAGAATAGTAAAGAGAAAAAGTGTCAAGGGACCTCTCCCAACAAGGTGGAGACCTTTTAGCAATATTACAGAACAGGATAAATAAAGTGGACATTGATGAGGGTTAAAATAAGAAAAAAAAAATTCTGTTTTAATAAAGTTATCAGAACTTGGGTGGATCCCCAACATAAAAGAACCATAAACTAGCACTCTCTATTGTAGAGGAATTTTAAAAAGCAAAAGGACAAAAATCACTATGAGACACATCTGAAAACGCCTGGGAAAATGTTTCCACCCCAGCCATAGATTTAAGGTTACATGCATATCAATGAAATGGTAGGGCAGAAGAGAGGCATTTTTGATTCTGAAAATCAGTAGATAAAATCTAAGGTCAGATTGGGGAAAAATACAGGACATGGTAAAAGTTTGAATGAAAATATAGACTATTTAAATAAACTTTATTTCAACAGTAATTATGTATTGTTGTTGTCTTAGGCTGGGTTCTCTAGAGAAACAAAACCAGTTAAGTGTATAAATGTATATATAGAGAGATTTATATCAAGGAAATGGCTCATGCAATTGTAGAGGCTGGAATGTCCCAAGTCCATGCGTCAGACTGGAGGCCTCTCCTAGTTCACGTAGCCGCAGGGGCTGGTGAACCCAAGATCAGCAGGTCAGAGAGCAGGGCTGTTTCTCACAGGCTGTGAAGATTGACGAATCCCAAGATCGGCAGGCAAGATGGCAGGTAAGCTGCTAGCTCACGTCCCAAGAACCAGAGGTCAGATGAACAGGAGCCAACTGCAGGATCCAGAGTGAGCAAAAACTTGAGCCTTGTTAGAGAGTCCACTTACATTTGATGCAGGCCACACCCCCAAGGAAACTCCCTTTCGACAGATTGGCTACTCACAACAGATCTCATCATGGAGGTGATCATATTATATCAAATCTTGTCATAGAAGTGATCACATTATCATATGACTGCCAAACTACATCATAACTGCCAAACTACTGAGAGTCATGGCCCAGCCAAGTTGACACACAACCTTACAATCACAGTTGTATAAAGACTTAAAATAATTTCCAAGATTTTTGGTAATTTACTGATATTAAATTGAGTTAATAAATATTTGTTACAATTTAAGTTTATATACTTTGCTTTTTATGCCACAGACAAAGGATATATATATATATATATATATGGGTCTGTTAATAAATGTGTTCATTTTTGCCACTTACAAGATTGTACTATAAGAGATACATAACAAAGACATAAAGTTTTAAAGATTTATTAAAAGGGTGTTTATTTGATATGGTTAAAGTTTTTATCTATCGTGGCTAAAGGCTGATGAGTTAATTTATGAGTTTTTAAGGGCTTTAGTATCAAATAGTATATAAAGCAAAAAATTGGGTTTATCGCTGTTAACGTAAAAAAAATGTTCTTTAATTACTGGGCTGAAGAGTTAGTTTTATTCTCTGTGTAATCTCCTTTGAAGGCAAAGCTTTGGTGTCTCATTAGAATAATTTCCTGACTTCATGTTGAAAACCAAGCCCTGTGGCTTTGAAAACGTTACAGTTTCTCGATGACCTATGATAAATTCTTGAAGGAAAGCCAGAGAAGATAAGGAAAAAGTGCTAAAGAAAAATAATGTGTTGTGAGTTACATGAAATGTGTTGTCAAATCAAGAGAAGTGCCTAATTTTTCTTTGGGTTAAAAATTTATGTGTCAGTGTCTCCTGTTATGTTCTGCCTGATATTAGACAACAAGAGCATAAAATTATTGGTCATAATTTTAGTTATTTTTTGATAACATGGTTACAGCTTTATTTCTTTTGAATCTAGCTGCATAAGAGCCAATGGTTTAACTGGGGAATTGACATCATTTACCTATGGAGTTTTCATTACTATTCAGATGTTTAGAGACTTGATAATCTTGGTATATTCTTGATATATCTTAACTATATGGTATTATGTCTCAATATTATATGTTATATCTGAAGTTCTTTGAAAATGGTTTTAATCATTATGTTTAGAGACATTCTATCTAAAGTTTTTTTCATTGACCATTTTTCTTTACATTATTTTGTAATAAACTCTCACCAGGGTTTATTATTAGTAATAAGTTAACCCTGGCCATTTTTAAATTTTGTCATCTGCAGATAGTTTTTTTACTTTGCTGACTCCTTGAAAGCGCTTGATGACAGTGTTTCAAAAAAAAAAAGTCTATTGGACCTATGAAAGGGACTGTGATAGGTAGTTTGAATGTGGATATAACTGGACTGAATCAAGATTTCCAGAACTCTTGTGTAGAAGCTGACTAGTTTACAGACTGCTACTGATCCAAAAACACGTGGAACAGACATTAACTGCGTAGGACTGAGTGAACTAAAAGATAATGGTTTTATGTGGGGGTACTGCTGATGTTTTAATGTTCTATTTTCTGGATATAAGAAAATATTTTCTTCTTTCTCCTAAACTATCTAACTAATGGGTTTGTTTTTTAACCTGCAGATGTGGACTGGCTCTTGTTATGCTATTTCTATGGGTTTATATAGAATCAATTAACCAAGGGGAAAAATTAATAAATATGAGAGAAACGAAAAGTTGAGTCCAGAAAAGAAACCTTAAAAAATATTAACAAAGAAGGATTAGGAGGTGAGAAAAACTATTACCACAGGAATACTTTATAGTCAGCATAGTGCTATTGGTTATTGAAATAGCTGGTTCTTGCATTAAAGGAAATAATCAGACTTAAAATGAGTTTAGATATTGTAGATCTCCAATTAGAAGTTTCTGTTGATAAACTCAGCAAAGCTGTAAAGACCATAACTAGAGAAATAGCTGAAGTTTTGGCTATGACTTTGCAAAATAGAATAGCCTTAGATTTCCTGTTGTTTCTTAAGGAGAGACTTGTGCTCTAATTAATCTGAGTGTTGTACTTACATCACTGATGAATCTAGTAATGTTACTCAATACATGTCACATGGAAAATGTAATTAACCAAATGTCTGATCCTACTCCCAGTCTAGGTGAACTATTTCAACAATGATTTTCAAGTTGGGGAGTCTGGAAGAAATCTCTATTTATCATTGTCTGTATATCATGATTTTATTATGCTTGTGTTGTTGCTTACCATGTTGTTGTTCTTTTACTCAGACTATTCAACAATTTTGCTCTAAACTAACTGTTTGCAGACCTATGCAACATTTGACGTACCTCAAGGAATCTTCCCTGAGTTTTTAACTCTACCTTTTTCTGTTAAAGCCAGCACTGCTCCTACAATTTGGCCAAGTCTACACTAGGTCCCACTCCACAGTGTAAAGCTAGGGCATAGTGAAGATTTGAGGGTGTGTAAACACTCCATGAATCCATAAGACCAGACCACCAGTGAGCGACGAATCTTACATTCAGAAGTCTATGCAGAAGAAACACTCACCAAGCTTAAAGTGATAATAAATCTCATTTGAAATAATGATCAGAAGGGGGAAGTGTAGACACTCCAAAATCCTAAACAGGCTGTGCTGGGCCCTAGCTGAAAAATGTTGACTTAAGGTTAGGAACAAGAACCCCCCTTTACAGCAAAATTCCTTGATGATTAAATTTCCAGATGTCCTTTGATAAATGGCATGTCCATAATGACTCTGTTTTTACAACTGGCTGACCCTGAAGCCTTGTTAGTACTCTGATTCTGTCTCCCAAGAAACCAACATGAAAGGAACTTACAATGACCTTCAAGAAACTACCCTGCCCAGACCCTGCCTATATAATCTGCTTCACTATCCCCTCTTTGGAGCACCTTCCTGATACTTTCGTTTTGACTCCACCCGATTTGAATCCTATTTATTCACAATAAATACATTCAGTTACACCAACTTCTGGTGTTTCGCTGCACATTTAGGCTTTTAACAGGTCAAGCTTG